CTATTGCCTCATTTTTCAACTTAGGCGTCTTCTTTTCTGGTTCCCTCGCACGAGATGATGTTAATCAGGGCAATAAAAGTCTCTTACGTCAATACATTACAATATGCGACTATCGTGAAAAGTTGGTCCAATTATTCATCAGTGAAATCCAGCCGTTTCCCGTTTGTAAAATGTTAGTGAATCGGATGGCAACTATTAACGACAGCATGGAAAGAACTGCACAACAAATGACGGATAAAAGAAGTGTTGAACATGACCGTATTATCAATGAACTGAAAAAGAAAGACGCTCAGAGTAAAGCACAACTGGAACAACTTTTAGAACAGTATCGTAGAGCCGTTGCTTCTGAAGAATATGCCATTGCACAATCGAAACAATACAAGGAAAATTATGAAAACTTACTTCACCGTTTTCATAAAGATGGATCAAAGGAAGGATGGGAAATAAATAAACATCGACGATGAAAAAAACTAATTTGTTTTCATGTGACTCTAATGTTTTTTCTTTTCTGTTTTTGATTGTAGATGTCTGGTTTTCTACAACCTAACATTGATGTTGAATTCGAACGTGAACAGATCATGAACAATATCGAGCAAGAATATGAACATAATCTTCAACAAGAAAAACAGCATACAAAACAGATCACTCGAAATCTTCTATTACTAGGTCCTTCGAAGAGTGGTAAAACAACATTCAGACATGTTCTCACTGATCCACGCCATATACCAGAACCGTTAACATTGCGATCATTATCCGATAGACAAATCCAATTGACAAAAGATATACGACTCGAATCATGTTGCATTTCATTGAATGTTGCAGAAATTCCTAGTGAGATGATCGATACAACTAGCAATTTGTCAGATATTAATCGTGAATGTCACAAGCTGGGTACGATGGATTTTCATTTGGTATGTTTTTGTGCATCATTTCAAATAGGTATAGACGGAGATACTCTGAAATCATTTCTACGTCTCATCGAACATTTTGGTGAAGAACAACTTCGTCCGAACTTCGTTCTCATCGTCACTCGATGTGAAAGCAAAAACGACACACAACGATCGAATATACATGATGAACTACTACACGATAGCGAGTTTTCCAAATTGATTAGAAATCAAGCGGATCGAATTTATTTTTCGGGTACACTCAATCCGGATGATTACAATAATGCAAGTGAAGCACTGTATTATCAATTCAAAACAGTTTATTCTTATCGAAAAAAGTTCCTGCAACTGATCCAGAATGAAATCAGACCGTTTCATCTGAGCGAAAAACTACAACCATCCATACCAAAGTAAGTGATTAGTTTCTCAAATTTCATTGCTGACATACTTTCAAGTTTTGAAATGCCCTTGTTTCTATTTTCAGACACAATCATCCATCGAATTTCATCACTATACCAATCAGTCGAAATGAGAGGTCGACTGTCACACGAATCGAATCATCACCGTTACAGTATCGCTACAGATACGATTATGCTGCGGTCAATTCCAATGATGACTCATCTGAATATTGTAGTTGTTGCCCTTGTCTAAAAATACTCTAATCGAATATTTTTCTTGCTGAACTCTTAATCTCACTTTGATGTTGTTGTTCATCAGAATGACTACACGAAAAACATGTCTTCAATATCATTGAATCTATTAGACTAGATATCACAATTGACTTTGCGGGACATGTACAATCAATTGTTATTGGTTGATTTTCTTTTCAGTAAATAATGATTTTCCAGCAGTTATAGGGACTTATTTTTTCGGATATTTTGTGACGTTTTAATAAATCCCAAGAAATTTTAAAATATGGTGTGGATGTGGGTGGGTGTGGGTGAGTGGGTGCAGGTGTGCTCATGCAAGGAGAGATTATTGA